GCTATTTTGCACCCCGAATACCACCACAGATATTGTGTGCGAAAAGCTGATGATGTTTTGTGGTGGGATGAAAGGAAAATTCCCTCTTGTGTGAGCGGCCAATTTTCCTAATTGCCGCACAGCATACATACGATGGTGCAAAGTTCACAGAACAGTTCACCGTGTGGTGCATTCAGTGCTCAAGTGTTTGCCCACACGGAAGGAATGCTATATATTGGATGCGATAGTCCATTGCAACCCATTTTTAGATTATTGCTATGGTATGAACTTGCTGGGATTAAACGTGCTTCACTCTGCTTCCCCACAATTGTGAATTGCTTTCTCTTCCACCGCCCTCAACATGGAACCTTTGGAGGCTCTGCAAGACGTCTGCAAAAGCAAGAGATGCATTTTACAAATGAAACTTGTCTATAAACCCCATCTCTTTCACTTAGTCACTCTCGAAGATACAACAACAAAATACACGTTCCACTCACATTATACATTTTTAATAAAAAAAAAAACTTGTGGACGAGACGAAAGCGGATCAGGAAGAAGCGAAAACCTTATATCTATGAGTTGTCTAGGAAGAGATATGGGAAAAGAATGAGAGGTTTAAAATCCATTTCGCTGCAGTTTTCAATTTAAATCCTATCTCTATGGCATCACACACACTTGCCAGTGATATATCTTGAAAATATCTGTTTCTATTTGTGTGAAAGCATAGTCAGAAAATGCATGAATAAATACGAGAGCTAAATCCACGATTCACCGCTTTTCCCACCATCGCAAATCTATATAAGATGTTTAGTGAATTTGCTCACTTTGCATCCCCTATATTCAATACCAAAGCACCGACGAGATGCCGTTAACCCTGAAAAAGTTCCCAATTAAAATAGCTCGATTCCACTTTTTTGTCAACTGTAATAATCTTTTCTTTTTCCCCCTTCGTTAGCATGAGAACCAATTTTTATGCTTTCCTAGATGGCTTCCACCTTCACTTGGAATTCATACTCTCACACGATGCGCAAAAAAGCGTGATTTTTCAGAGCTTTCAGGCCTGAGGGAGAGTTGAAACTTTTTCCCAGCCTCTCATCATCCCGCGAAAATGCCACAGAAGCTGAGGGCGAACCATTTATTGTGGGTTGGGCTGTAATATCATCAGCAAAGTTTAGCTTTTCGGTTTTACACCCCACCTTGAGGATATTAATCGGAATTTTATTGAGCAAATCTTTCTCTGCATAAAATTTATGTTTTGTTAATTACCAGTGGCATAAAGGGAAAAATATCGCTTTGTCAGAGTACTTTTGATGAGTTTCACGATCGATTAAGCACTGCGCCTATGAGCCTGAAAAGTTGACATCAATTTGTTAATCTGTCGTGCCGATATTTATTATCCAAATGCCATTTTTGTGTGTGGTTATTTCACGCGATAGGTATAAATGATGTAATCGAATAAAAATAATGCATTTCCCCAAAAGTGCTTTAATTAAATTACCGGAAACATGCACGAACATGATTTTCGCTAACACATGTGATCTTTAAATTGGCTAAAAATCCCACCCATTTTGTAATTTAACATGGTACAATTGAGAATTCAACTCAATTCGTGTATGGTGAAGCATTTTAGTTCGGATTCAGAGAGACCGCAAATTATCCACATCAAAGATCAGCCGAACTTCTCCAGTGCGCCACAAGGTGAATCCCAAAGTGGTGTGTGCGGCGGTGATACCACGGATTTCGTGTTCTAAGAGCAAAACACGTTTTTCAATCTTTGTGGTTGAGAGTCTCTGTTTCATCAGCAAAATTAATGTTTCATTGAATATACCGCACTATTTCTCACGGGGCGCTCAATTTTTCACCCCGCTGGAAAAGTTTACCTTGCCAACTCCACAGCACGCCGCACATAAACCCACTTTGAGCAAATTGGGGTGGAAAAAATTAATAAACGGTTGCATCGCACTGGGACACAGGTCGCATGATGTGTGTGAGTGAGGGTGGCAATTTGAATTTTTTATACTGTGGGCCCGCTAGACAAAAGGGCAGATATGTGAAAAGTTTTTTAATCTACAACATTTTTTGATATTTATTACTCCAGTGTGGAAGTCACTTGAAAGTTAGGTTCTTAAGACCACGACTCGCTCCGAATGCATCGCACTGCAGAGTGTGTCAAGGGTGCAGAATATGGAGATGGTGTTGGGGGAAATTTCATCATGCAGTCTCTGCTCATGGTGGATGAATTGACTTGTGAATGACACATTCATTCTGAGGCGAGAGAATACACCCGGCGCCTCCACTGCATTAGTCTAAGTTATGAGTGGATTTATGAAAACTTCTCTGAGCATGAATGTTTTTTTTCCAGCACAACAGACGTAACGCAAGTCAACAGCAAATGACAATAACTTGGAAACTTCTTGTCGCTCATGCGGAGCTTTCAGAGTTCTCATGTTAAATCTAAGCAAATAACGTGTGTTTAGCTTTGAACTTTGTGTACCCAAAACTTGGGCAATGATACGGTTTGCTATACCTCCACTTGGAGAAGGACTTGCATTTGGTTTGATGAGAGTGACTTTATTGAAAAAGTAACACTTTAAAAAGTCACTCTTGATTGCTTAACATGAAGTTTTGTGGCTGTTCTCGTTGAAAGCTCAACTTGAATATCAGTTGTAAAATCCATTATGATTTGAATGTAATTATTGTAATGGAAAACCTTGGGACAAGAATGCACTCGGAAGTTGAATTATTCACCGCACATGATTTCTGGAGAGCGGAAATGTGTACTTGGCGAACTGCAGTGTCGCCTCCTTGGCAGAAACGGCGTCGGCGGAGTTTATTTTATGTGGAAGTGTTGCGATAAAATTCCACTTCATGCCTGCAGCTTTGGGTGTGTTATAGTATGTGGAGATTCACGGTGAATCTTGGATCTCGAGATGGATAGTCTATAAATCTGCAGGGTGTCTTGCATTCACCACAGTGGAAAATCGGGCTCAAAGTAGAGGGAAAGTCGAGTTGATGCTTCCCGTGGAGTTCATCAAAGTGTCACCCCACTGCCAGTGCACATAAAAGTTAATTAAAGACACCCTTCACCCTCGCCGTCAAAAGCATGCTCGAGTCGTAATTGAAATAGTTCTCACCTCGAGAGACGATTCGCCCATAAATATTTTTAATCGGTTTATTTATTGAATTTGATGACTTCCCTTATCGCATCATTATCAAAATTAATTGCCCACCAATCTCGTCAGCATCTCTGCTTTATGTGATCTCTTTCTTCACTGGCTCTGATACACAAAACTTTTTGCTGATGCGCACAAAACTTTAAAGCTACTCTCTACACTCTACTTCGGAGCTTTAAGTTGTCGCCTCAAACTTATACGCGTTGAATTTGGCACAGTCATTTCTCTCGAGATCATTCTGTCCATCTTCTTTTATTGCAATTTAATTATCATGTCGTATTTGCATACAGCATAATGTTTTTTAACATGTTGAAATATGAAAATTGAAAAATGTTGGCATTGCTCATAAGAGATGAAAAGAGACATTTTCTCCGCTGAAGCGTGGAGAGCGCAAAAAAAGGAATACAAGGTCCTCTTAATTTTAATGAAAGTCATTTCGCAACATATAACAAGTGCCTCATTCGTTTCCTCATTCGCCAGAAAACGAATGAATTGGCAGATCCAACCTCAATTGTCGTAATTGCTTTTCTTCACAACTTCTTCAGAGTTTCCTCCACTGCGCCTTTTTCCCTCATTCTGGCCATCCACCAGCAAAACCCAAGGCAAAACCTCTCGGCAGAGGGGCGGAATTGTGATCCCTCACAGCCGATGATACACACTGTGTGTGTGTGTATGTTGCTTTCTGTATCTAATCTATTCGTGTTCTATTGCAAAAATAAACTTCTCAGATGGTTATAATCGACATAATATTTTTGTGTACATGCTGGGCGGACCCTCCTTCGTCCTCGCCGAGTGGGTGGCGGTGCGTAGGTGATAAGCGAAGGACGAATATTTTTGGGGATGATTAAGTTTCTCTCCCTGAGACTTTCAACGAAGGACATCTTGAGAGATGAAATGGAGCAAAACCAAAGTTCCAGTCTCTCGGGACAGCCACATTCTCTTGCCTGTAATACACTCAAGAGGGTGACTTGGGCCATGATTTGATATTATGAAGAGCGGGTGTATGATTATAACTTTTATTGTCTATCTTTCTTCTGTTTCTTCTTCCTCTGGGTGTTTCTTGTGAACTCGAATCATATAAGCTTGAATTAAAATTAGAAAAATTCTTAATGTGATTTCCGTCTTCTGTATTCCTGCTTATCCTCTTAGTCACGACTCTGTTATTGATTCATCTTATAACTGAAACATTTGGTGCTCCTTTTTCTCTTCGCATCATCTTTCTTCCGGGCACTAAAGAGTATGTGAAGAAGTGCAGAGATGTATTCATAAGTTGAAACTTTGTGAACATAATTTATTCTCTTACTATTAGCATCAGACGGTGAGTTCCGTGTTCAACAAACAACATAATTGTATTAAATGTAGAGCAACTTAAACACAGTTTGTACGTGAAACTTGGAAGAGGAGCCAAGTGAGTGCATGAGGAACAGCTTGAAGGCGATGTGAGCCAGGTTCTGGGTGAAAATGCCAGAGTGGAAAATTAAGTCGAAAGTCTTCCGTTTTCTAAATGAGTTTCCCTGTATGAAAAAAGCAAATTTTTTTGAATTTGCCGAGCATTGAGCTTCTTCTCTCTCTCATTGTTATTTGTGTGTGTCTCTCACGCCACTTCTCCCTACCAATTCATATCATGAATCATGACATTTTCACTGACTTTTCACACACAGTCGCCACGTTTCATTCAGGCCAGCCCGAAAAGCATATTCACGGCCTGAATGCCACTAATGCGCGTCTGATTTGCTTGTGTATCTCGGTGAGACACTTCTTTATCCGGGCTTTTTTACAACATAAACTGCATATGTTTTCCTGAAACTTTTTCACACAAAACTCGAGAGCGGGAACTTTAGAACTTACCAACAGGACTCTCCTCATTCCAGAAAGAATCATCCAGCGTGTAGTCAGCTTCTGCAAAAGAAAGGAAGAGAGATGGTAAAAAATTGTTATCAGAAACGTATGTGTGTCTCATTTATTTTCCGCTTTATTCCTGCCCTTAAACTACACTTCATTAAAATATTCATATGAGCACTGTTGTTGGTATTAGCTAAATGCGGAATTTTCGTACTGAACCCAGACAATGTAAATGAGGAAAAATTTGATAAATATTACGACTACAAGTTGCTCCTTCCTGAATTTGCCACAATCCAGGTTGCTACGTCGCACGTACTTCTCTGGATAAAGTCCTCTTCTGTATCATTTGTGCTTACTAATAAAATGCTACACAGTATACACATTTATTACAATTTAATATAATGGAGAAAGCTGGGAAAATCAACGTGTTCATATGAAGAAAATTGACTTGTATGCAGAAATTGCATTATATCAAATTCCGAGAAAATGTGTGAAATATCTGTACAAGACCTCCTGATGAGAAATATGAAATTTCATTCCTATTCAGCCTATTTACTTTCTTTGATATCACTTTGCCTTCTATCATCCGCCATGTTATTCACACTTTTGGCGTTATATTAAAAATTCTTCTGTGCTATTCCGTGGAAGGTGAATAAGATCATGTGAGAGTGTTAAAGAAGAATATCGGGGAATTTTACACTATATATACTTCAATGGCAGATGAATTATCGACTGCAGTTAATAATTTTTGCACATACCGTAGGGTTCATAAATCAGAGTAGAGTTCTCAGTGCAGAATGCCCGTGCAGGAATTTGCTTGGGGCGAAAGCCCGTCGGGGGTGGTTTGAAATTCAAATTCACTGATTTCGCATGCTGCAAATTGAATTTCTGCCAAACAAGGATTGTATGTAGCAATTAAATGCGGTGAAAAACGATTTATTAACGACTCAGTGCATTTAATCACGTTGATTAGTGTATGATTGCCAGACATATACATGCAAAATCGGACGAGTAGGGAAACTAGTTGCTGTGTCAATTAAAAATTCCTTTTGGCCGGATTTTAAACACATTTTGCAATTTCGTGCTGGGATGAAAATTTAATTCACCACACACTAAGTTCGTCATGCTACACGTCAACGTCAAAGCACGCTGCACCGCAATCAGTAGCTGGCGAATTATTTACTGTAATTCATGCAGAATGACATAAACATCATCGTTGAGTTGGAAAAAACACTCATGATCATGCAGCAGTTCAACTCCTTCGACTCCCTGGAGACGCAGTGAAAGTTTATAGCAAACAATGTTGGCTTTTCTCCACGGAAATTATCCCACTTCGAACAGGTATTCATATATTGAGCCTGGAATGAGCTTGTATGGAACATTTCCCAACACATTTTCCCACTTTTCCCACGAACTTGATGGCTTTTGGAAATTGAACAGCCATAGTGCTAATTTTCAATTTCACTTCCTCTCTCGATGGCGTTTCAAATTACACATTTTCACCTTTTCTGTCTATTTGCATTTCACGTTCTTTCTCACACACACGACATGTGGTGGGTCTGTTGAAAGATCTAATTGCAAACTTGCCACGAAAATTAATTAATCCTATAGAAAAAGAGCTCAGTGAGGCATGCAAAATACATCGAGTGCCGTGTGTATCATTGCAAATATGCTGGAAAAATTAACAGGGATTTCATTACAAATATGCTGAAATGCAAGTGAACTGTCAATTTCTTTTTTAATCACACTGATTACCTGCACAATTAGTGCAATTTTCTGCCAATTTAAATTTGCAATTTTATTCGTTTTTTTTTTCAAATCGGATAATGAGATATGAAAGCGCATTTTTCTGTGCTCTCATTTCAGCAATTTGAACACCTTTGAAAAATTCAATCCATACTTATGTATAATTTAAAATGCGTCTTCGGAGAAAATTGATGCATTTTTTCGATGTGCGGAGAAATCCATTTCACGCTCAAATTGCCACTAAACCACATTTTCTCTTTGCCACAGCCACCGATTTGAGGGATATAATCTCAAGCCTCCCAATCGATGTCTGAATATCAGCCCCGAAGCGTCCGTCGACATCGCATCATTTGTCGACGCTTGCCAATTTGGTTGCAGCGTCTCCGCTTCGCGTGAAATTAAGAAACGATAAGGGACAAATTGAATATTATATGGGCACAAGGCGAGGAAGGAGGATGGTGAGCGCGGCAATTGGATGATGGAATTGGGAGGAAAATGATATTTGCATATTTTACACCACGGCGAAGTTGGATGAGAGCAAATGTGTTTGATTGAGTACTTGGGCGAAAATTGCTATAACTGTTTGGTCGGTGAGAGAATTTCTGTGGGATTGTGAATTAGTTTATCCCTCAGTCGTTGGGTGAGGCTCTGACAGGGTGAAAGTTTATGGCGGAAGTGACAATTATAAATTGTCTTCGCCCATCCATAAATTCACTTTGTATTCATTCACCCAGACCATCATTGGGAGAATTTCGACAGCGGAACAATTGTGCACCGACCCGAATACACATATTACTCGATGGCGTGGGCATCTTCCTGAATAATTCATTTCATCAGATTTAATTTAGACTTTTAAATAAATACCACACACACACAGGCCCTTGTCGGCGGTCCTTGACGTGGGGGCGATTTTCTATCTGCCTCTCTAATTCAATTCACTTATGAACAAAAACGGAAAAGCATACCAGATAAATGCATGCTCTGAAGTGGTCCTCACAGTCGCTCATCCCTTTGCTTTTTACCAAACATAAGCATAGCTTTTCATTTCGAAAACACAGAGAGGCTTATGATGACGAGAACATCCTACATACATTCGCACAAGGAATATAAATGGGTGTGATGAGGATGTTGAAAGTTTTTACTCGTTATCTCGCCTCAAAATTTCTGCCCATGGATGGGAAAGGGCACCTCTCCGACCCAGACCCTCTCACATGGTTTGGTGAAAATGACCAGAATATGCTTTGAAATTCAAATTTTCATCCAGTAAGATACCCCATCAGCAGCAAACTTTGCAAATATATATCTCGAAATATGTTAAAATTCTGCTTAGAATTTATGCGATATATCGCTTCTATGGAACAGTTGACGTGTGAATGGGAGAGGAATTTTACAGTGTTGGCCTACGCTATCGATGGGATCAGTCTCACTGCATAAACATCCCTATGACACATGAAGTTTTCACCAACAACATGTCTTATCTCAACTAACGACACTGTTTGAGTTGATAATTATTTGGCTTTGCCAAATAAACTGTTTTAGCCAATGTTACACAATATTCTTGCAGTATATATTAATTTAGCAAATTTAACCCTATTAAATGATAGACATTTTGAAGCTTTAAGAGAAATTTTTCATAATATAAATCCAAAACTTTATCAAACTAATTAGATCACCGCAAATGCAACGCGATATGACAATCAAAAATTCACCCGTAATATCGTGAAATTTTATTAGTCTTTCCGGATGCAAATAACAGTCATTCTAACGTTTCTACGCGCAACACATTAGCAAAATGGATATTGAAAATGACCAAAAACACTCATTATGTTTCCCAGCGCACATAACCACGCATCACTGGTTGTGTGAAATTACCTCATTATTCTAATGTGGTTTCATTTGCACCGATTTTTTCTGACGCACGAACCAAAAAAAATATCTGAAAGTTAATTCCTTCCATCATTGAAGGAACTTTGAAGAAGATTAGATATTTTTTCAAAGTTTCTCCCAATACAAAGTGCTGTGTGATGAGTTGAATGTTGGAAATTGTGCGTAATTTCCAGTACAATAATTGCGAATGCACACTTTAACAAATTTGTCAGGCACTAATGATATGCATTTTTGTCATATTCATTAATTCGAAAAATCCTCTCGCATCGTATTTTCACACCAAATTTGGTATTTAACGCGACGAATTAAATATTCAGCGATTGAGTGGATTTTTCAGTGAATAAAAATGTTTTAAAGCGAGCTTTACTGTTATATTGTGGCTTTCAATGTGACATATTTAATGCTGAAATGCCTCAGCTGCTTATCTGCAGCTTCACAGCTATGGTATTTGGGTGGGAAGTAGAATCTTGACTTGTAACATCGTATGTGTGATTCGAAGATTGTTTTTGCATGAGGAATTTGCCGCCTCCCGGATAATGTGCGTATGACGAGAGTGCCTCTGAATTTTGTGATTACCTTGTCTTGTTGTTTGGTATTCACAGAGTGTGATGCTGTGTGTGAGTTTTGCCATAATGGAATTTCCCGTGGACATGGCGTAAAAAAGTTTTCATCAGCAGATGCCGGGAAGGAGAAATGTCAATTACGCGATGTTGGAAAAAAATTAAAATGAAATATCTCGGTTGTTTGTTCCGACGCTGTCGCCGGATTCCGGGGGTGCCATTGGGCGCCCCAATAGCCGGCGAATGTCAGTGACAGGACGGACAAGACAGCTACACCACTCGATCGGGCTTTAATGGCAAAAGTTTTGCACTCTTGCTGGCGACGAGTGCTTTAGAGAGGCCGAGACGTTCCTCTCTCTCTCTCTTTCTCTGAGTCGCCCACTAAAAATATCCCTGAGAAAGTGACAGTGAGACCACGAATATGAATGGGCTTTGCTGTCTGCGTGATTTAATACGTTGTCGGATTATAAATCATTCTTCCATTTAAAGTTTAATTCGCTGTGGAATGATTATTTACATTTTCAACGCGCCCCAATTAAACCGGAGACACTTTCTTTGGAGACGTCTCAGCGACGACCTCGTAAAGTTTCATGGAGATTTCGTCTATCAGGCTATTTGCTGTCGTGCCATTCACCCAAACGCTGTAAAAAAATCCACGCGAAATTTATCAAGATTGCTCACACAGCGAATTAGAGTGGAAAATTTCATCAGATAAGAGATGAGAGATTAGTAATGAGGAAGAAACTTTTCTGCAATATGAAATAATAAAAAAAAATCTTGCCATATATTTTTTTTTGAGAGAATCAAGATGCTTCGCATGGTTGTGCAGCCTTGGGGCTTCAATGGGACAAATCAGTCGTGCTT